CTTATCCTTGCTACATGGAAGGAAGTCACTGGTGTCTTGATTCATTTGGCACAGCCCCTGAGGTCTGGTACGATTTGGCATGATTCAGTATTTGAGACCAAGCTAGGAGAGGTACTACACTTGGTTCTTCAAAATTCCCGTTGCTGATGTCAAATAGCATGATCAGGCTCCTGAGAAGGTTTTGTTGAAAAAGTTTTAGTTATGATAATGACGTTGATGACCATGATCTCTTATTGACATCAGAATTGAAAGAGATTTAGAGATTATATAATCCCCTACTCTGTGTATTACAAATTCTCACTTGCCTTCTTGAATGAGAGATGTAGGCATTCTGTCATCTTTGCTTGAGAGGTAGAAGTTCAAGGTATCACAGTAATTTCATCAGTGACTTCAGGATCCTATGCTTATTAAGCCTTTCATTATGAAAGTGGTGGAAAGCAGCTAATCCTAGTAGTTTAAATGAGGAAGGATCTATAGGGGAATGCAAATTAAAACCACAATGAAATATCCCTACACACCCAACTAGAATGGCTAAAATCAAAATACCAACAATACCAAATGTTGGTGAGGATGTGGAACAACCAGAACTCTCATACGTGGCTATTGAGAATCTGAAGTGGTATAACCACTGTAGAGAACTACAGTTTCTTATAAAGCTGATACACACTTAACCATAAGACCCAGACTATCATTCCTAAGTTTTTACCCAAGAGAAATAAATACCTATGTCCACAGAAAAAGGACTTCTGTATGAACATTTTATAATAATAGGCAAAAGCTAGAAACAATTCATATATCCTCCAACAAGCGAATGGATAAACTAATTGTGGAGAATCTATACAATGGAGTACTAGTCTGCAATTTTAAAAAACCAAACTACTGGTACATATAACAATGAAGATTAATCTCAGAAGTAGTATGCTGAATGAAAGAAGCTAGACACAGGAGTATGTATATACTTTGTGATTCCATTTATTCTAGAGCAAGAAAAATTTATATCGAGAAGGAGGAGGGAGATGCCTACAAAGAGGCATGAGATTCGCAGTGATGGATTGATTGTGGTGATGGTTACAAGAGTGTATACAGTTGTGAAAATGCATCAAACTGTACACTTAAAAGGGTACATTGTATTATATATAAAGTTGATTTTAAAAGATGAGACATCTGGTCTGAGCTCAACCACTAACTAGCTCTATGTGTTGTTATGAAAAGACCTTAATCTCTCTACATCTCTTTCCTTTTGGGAAGATGGGGACAATAGTAGTTCACCTACCTCATTCAGTTATTGTGAAAATGGAAATGAAATCATTTATTTCAAAATGCCTTTAAAAAAGCATAAAGTCATATACAAATGCTGGTTGGAGGTGGGAGGAAGTATTCCATAATTTCCTCTTCAGGGAAGAAAGATAAGAACTGTGATAACCAATATATGAGTTAATCTATATATAAATTTTATTTGCAAGTCATCTTTTAACTTTTTGTAACATTGGCTATGTCAGTTCTCCCTCTCTGGCTGTCAGTAAAATGTTGGGGTTAGATTAGATCACCGGTAGAAAACTGTATGCTCAAAGATACCTAAAGCCTCTCAAATGTGTTGTTTTCTTCAGCCTGTCCGATGTCAACCTGTCCAGTGTTAATTTAAAATGTGACTTGTTGCCAGTGTTTAAATCTGGAGATGCCACATGAAGTTTTGGGTTTCTAATTTATCTTTAGAAATTAGCAGATCTGACAGAACTGGGTCTATGTTCCTACATGGCAACAAATACCTGGAGTTGTGTAGTAGCTATTCCTTTACATGAGCCATATGCTTTAATTTCTCACAGTCTTCACTACTCTCTGTAGCCTTTTCTATTCTATAACATTAAGAGGGAATTTAGTTCATTTTCAAGTGCCCTTGACGTGTTAGGCACTATTCTAGGTCATGACAGTAGGGGAACCAAACAGACGAAATCTCTAAACTCATAGTAGAAAGTACCTATCAACATCATCAACCAAGAGTGCTTTGTATTTTAGGGAAAGTGGGAGAAAACGTTTCTTTGTGGAAGTAAAAAAGGTATTCCTACATATTTAATAGACAAAAATGTGTATGTGCCACAATTATCTTGCCTATTTCACTTGCTTACCTCACATAATGTATCAGATCCTTTCCCTTCGTGATTCAGTAAATTCATGGATTGTCCAAAAACTGCATTCCAATAAAATCATGAAGATTATTTTAGCGTTTCAAAAAATGCCAGTAGGCAGAGAAACTGGAGCAGGCTCTACTGAATGTTAGCTTTTCTTACCTCTTCAAACCATCCTCAGCTCAGCTTTAGATTTTTTTCTTCTAATCAAGATCTTGGGATGCAACTCAGTCTGAAATGAGCATCTCTATTGACAGTCATAACTGCCTTCTGTAACAGCCTGAACCCTGTTTAGCTGTGGCTGAGACTCTTATTACCTAGATTCACATGGCGAACCTGTGCTGGAGAAGCATCTTGAATGGTGCTATCTCCCCTCTACCTTCTAATCTAATAATTTACATCTCCATTTAGTCAACTACATAGTGATAGTGGCCAACACTTTTAAATTGACAAATTCTGTCAGGCTTCGATTTTGATATCATGGCCAAGGAACCCTGATTTAAATGTTCTTTACCTGCAAATAAGCCCTTGTATGGGCATAGATGCTTGATAACATGGTTCTGTCTGTGGTAGGCATAGTGGTGTATTGACTGGCCTTTAGATATATGATCGGCGCAGGCTTTGAGAATCTGGATTGGCTCTTCTCAGCTAGTTGTGCTTGCCTAGATCGTGTGGTAGGCATCTGACTCATTTCTTCAGTTCTGGTTAGAAAGGTCATCTTGCTACCTGGTGAAGAAAACAATACTGCTCCCATCTGGTGGCAGTTATCTCAAATTGCTGCATCACCAACCAAATTCTGAAAGGATAGCCTGTCCTTTAGAAGTGCCATGCCTCACAGAACTGAAAGAAGTAGCCATTCCCAACTTTTGTTCTCCCAACCTTTGTTCTGTGACACTGTCAGCACTGTCAGGGGGATTGCACAGTTTTCTCTAAGATAGATGAAGTGGGAAGAACATTTTTTGGTCAATCAGGAGAGTGACACTGTTCCAGGTTCTGCCTGTAGCTAGCCATGAGAGTCCTGAGCCTCACTAGTTTTCTCCATCCATAAGCAAAATGCTTGGACTGCTCTCTAGAAGCCCTGCTGGTGCAAAGTCTGTAGTTCTGATTTCTTATGAAATTCAAAATACCTATGAAATGAATACCCACTGTGTTCATGAAACAGTTATGACTATGCATAGAAATTTTATAATTTATTCTATCATTTTCCCCAGTCCAACTTGATTATAAGATACATCATGAATTTAATAGCATATAGGGTGAAAAAAGACAAATAGTACTTCATTAAATATATATATTTATTACAAGAAAATTTCAGACATCTTAAAAATTAAAATGTAAAAAATGTGCATCTTTGAATCGAGAGGTTTTTTTTGTTTGTTTCTTATTTTTTTTGGTGATAAGACCTTTGTGAGTGTGTGCTAGGGTTTAAAAAAATTTTCATATGTCCAAATTTATTTATTTTTCTTTTTAAAAAATTTATTTATTTTTAATTAATGTCACCACATATTTTACCCCTTTTACCCCATCTGCCTCCCACCTCCCTCACTTCCTCCCCCCAGTTAAAAAAAAAATTTTAAATAAATACTCAGAATTCTAGAATTACAATTGACAATTGAGCAGTGTAAGTGTACTTGAAAGTACTTGAAAATATTACAAGAAAATGACAGTTAAAATTAAAGATTATATGGTAAATTTCAGTGTATATCTGAATACTGAAGAAGATCATAATGATAGGAAATATACAAACATGCAGTCTCTGATAAATCATTATCAAAATATACATTGGAATATTTGAGCCCATTAAAAATTTTTAATACAGAATTATGTGTGTATTTAATGAAAACGTAACAATGCTTTATGATTAAAGCTCTCTTTGGCTGTAAGGAACAAAAACAAGCTGACTTGAAAAGGAATAATTATTGTAAAGATATGACATTCATCAGCAGCCAGATACTGACTGAAGTGCCGCTGGGCCTCAGAAGAACAAGAGTGGCAGTCGGGACTCAAGTCGTCCGTCAGGCCTGAGGTCTCTATAATCACTACTTATTGCTCTTTATCAGTTTTGCATGTGGCTGCTAGTCCCAATACTATACCATAACCTTGTAACCTCAATTCAAGTTCCTGTACTGATGCCTTTCCTCTGTGTTCAGCTCCATCCAATTAGTGATCACCTCTGTGCAAAGAATAACCCAGTGATTTTTTTTTTTTTGCTACACAGGGTCAGTGCACAGGATAATTTAAGCTAAATTATGAGGTCGTATGAGCAGGCAGATGGACTAAGTGTCCAGTATAACTGCTGCTTATCTCAAGGTCTTCAACTTTGACAGCTTTGCAGCACCTGACCTATTTATAATCCCTATTAACAGTTTCATCGAACACCTCATAACAGTGTTTGGGGAGTGAGGTCAAGGTTAGGAGTTCTAAGGATTTGTGGAATGCTAAGGTGTAACAAATTCAAAACATTTAAGACTGCCTCAGCTAGTAATTATTGCCTTAAAGGGAATAATAACACCCAGCCTCACAGGATAGTAGTTAGAATTAAACAAGAGCTTAAAATGCCTAGGACAGTGGTTGGAATTTAGTTGTTTTTTCCTTCTTTTCTTCTGTCTAGTCCTCTGTTCTTTGGAAGATAATTACTGTTCCTTTTTCCTGAGATAGATAGGAACAATTTCTTCAATTCCTGCAGCCCAACTGCCCAAGTAATACCTCTGGGTTCCGAGAATCTAAGAATGCCTTCGAAGCCAGGCAGTATGAAGACTAAATGGCAGTGGCATCAGTACCATCAACAGTGACAGCAGCAACCTGTAGCCACTATAGTAATCTGACTGACTTTTTGAACGTGACTCAAAAGAGCTTGTGTGTTTGTTTCTCTCACAGGTGGATTTGCTATCGTGTTTCTCGTGAGGACAAGCAATGGAATGAAATGTGCCTTGAAACGCATGTTTGTCAACAATGAACATGATCTCCAGGTGTGCAAAAGAGAAATCCAGATAATGGTAAGGCTGCCCCTCAGACTCAAGACTGCTTATTTAAAATGGGTAGGGGGAGAGACTGTGCCCTCTCATAAGAAAACCAAGCGAGGCTTGTTCCCTGAGATGGCAGAGTGGCCTCTGCACAAAATGGAAGTAAACAGCCATATAGGACACTGCTTCTGCCTTGGTCATCCTCAGCAGGAGGGTTGAGGAGAAAGGAGTATATTGAGAGAACTGACTGCTTTTTATGTCAGAGAAATAGTATGGAGCATTGGGAATAGTTTATTAAACAACTTGATTCCTAGAATTAACTGTGGAGTTCAATCCGGAAACCCTCCCTAGCTTCCCAACGAGTTTCTTCTCCTAGCCTTGTCTTCTATCAGTTACCAATCCCAGTTTCCAGCCCTCTTGAGTTCTTCAGCATCCTGTGAACATAACTTCACACGTTTTTATTTTGTACATGTACTTTTTTCCACCTGGAATGCTTTTCCCTTTTTTTGACCTAGAAACTTCTTACTCATATATACTCTGATTCTGTTTATAAAAGTCCAAGAATAGGATTTCTATTATCTTTGGTAATAGAAATCAGGAAGTAGTTATCTTGGTATGGGAAATTGACTAGAAAGGGGCATGTAGGAGATTTCTGGGCCATAGAAATGTTCTGTATCTTGTTTTGGATACAGGTTATACAGGACTACACAATTGTGAGAACTCATTGAACATCTTAAGATCTGTGCATTTTATTATGTTAATTATACCTCACGTCTTAAAAAAGTTACTCGGTTTTCAAGATTCAGATTCATGTTTTATTTAAAGGAGTCCCTGTCTTTTAGAGATATATGCTGAAATATTTATGGATGAAATAATATGATGTCTCGAAATTAATGAGTGGATTTAGAAGAGAAACAATTATGATCGAAACAGAGCTATGGGTACATGTGTGTGTGTTAGAGTTGTCTCTTTCATCCCTGACATTATACATAAAAAATTTTAAATAGTCTCTTAATCGTGTTTCCACAGTACTTTTGTTTATGCCAGTTATATTGCCTGTCTTGTTATTTTATAAGTCTGCTATCAGAACGTAAGTTGTTTGAAATCAGAAACTATTTCAGCACACTGCTTAACTTCTAGTAAATACTTTAATAAACTTTGGATGAAATGAATATATGAATAATGGTAATGGCAGAGTACCTGTGTCAATCAAGAAGTGATGATTTCTTTGTGTCCTGGATTTTAATGCTTTCGTAAAGAGCAGAAAGGGGTCCAAAAATGGGTGAAGGTGGCATTGTAGGGATTCCTCTAGGCTTTGCTTGCCGCTGCCCACCTCTGTAGGTTTGCCCTTTCTATGGCCACTTAGAGTAACTAGTTGTACTATAGCAGACCTACTGAAAGAAGAACTCAGAATTTTGGAGAACCTGGTACTGTACTACTTTGGATTCTAAAAGCTGAAACTGTTTGAGAAGGAACTGTTGGTGGAAATAAGAGTTATCATCACTGCGAAAGAAAAAAAAACCCAAAAACCTAAGTCTGCCTTGGTCATCCTCAGTAGGAGAGTTGAGGAGAAAGGAGCATATTGAGAGAACTGACTGCTCTTGTACATACAGTCAGGGCCACATGGATCTGTCCATAAAGCACCAGTGCCCTCTCACTCTCCTGCCACACAGCTCTAAACGACTGTGCTCACCCTACTTCCCTTCATCCACCCAGTGAAGTTTCTGGATGCTTCCTATTACTCTTCCTCCCACCTTTTGCCCCTTCCTTGCTGAGCTCTCATGCTCCGTTTCCCGTCTTTGCTTCTGCTGTTTCCTCTGCTTGGAATGCCTTTTTTATTAATTTTCTGATGTTAGGAAGGTAATTCCACTCTTAAATTTTCTCCCACTCATTTAGAAACATGTTTAAGGGTTTACTTTGTGCTAGGCAGGTGTTAGAGTAGAGGAACTAAGACACAGGCCCTGTAGGAGCTCACAAATTAATGGACCTGATTAGGAATTAAATTACATGGGTTAAAGTTCTGGCCCAGCCATGTATTAACTGTGAGAGTTTTGTTTTATTTTTAAATTAGTTTATGTTTTTTCAAATCTTAAATACTCAAATGAGCGAAATAAGCTTATTACAGAAAACATCAAGCTATTCCTAGAGGGAGGTTCCTCCTATGCCTTTTCAATGTCCCAAAGCAACCACTTTTAGTTGATACATTTGATATATTTCTAAATAAGATGCTGATAATGCTAATTCTTGATTTTTTTCCATTTTAGGCATGTTACACTGTGCAAAGTAAAAATTTAGCTCTTTCATCCCCCATATGTACTCCCCCTGCAATACTAGCATTATTCTCATCTCCCATTCTTCTAAAATAGTAAGTTTTGGCAGTATATTAGTTAGATTAGTATGAGTTTTTACATTATTATATAAGCAAACATTATTTCTGCTGAATCTCCTCATAGACTATGATTACTATTCCTTTCCTACATAACTCTCTTTTCACTGGAATTAATAATTGTTCTTTTTGTTTGTTTTATTTTGCTTTTGTTTTGTTTTAGTATTCTGTGTACTTTTTAGCAATTTAATCCCAAACTCTTCCCAAGTTGTATAAATCATTATTTTAATACTCTTAAGCACATTTAGTATTCTATTTTATCTTCTTGAAGAAATCCCAGTTTTCTGACACGATGGAATCTGGGTTGGTTGCCCTCTAGACCTAATTTACAGTCTTATCTTGGAATTTCCTCAGCATTCGTTTTGCCTCTCTTTTTGTTAGATTTATTGACTCCTCTTTTTTGACATTTTAATTTTTTTGCACTGATTGAAATGATTGTGTCATTTTCTTTTTTTTATCCTTAATATGGTGGATCATATTGACTGCTTTTCAAATAATAAACCAGGTTTGCATCCCAGCAATAATTCTCACTTGGTCATGGTCTATAATTATTTTTATATATTGCTAAATTCTGTTTGTAATATTTTATTAAAGATTTTCACATCTATAGTCATGAGAGATAATGGTCTATAGTTTTTTTTAACTTCCTTTTTCTGGTTTAGGTAGCAAGGTAATCCTGGCTTCATAATAGACTGGAAAGTGTTCCCTCCTCTTCTGTTTTCTGCAAGAGATTTTGTAGAATAGGTGTTCATTCTTTAAGCATTTCAGGGAATTCTTCAGTGAAACCATCTGAGCTTGGGGATTTCTTTTTTGAGAG